AACTCCGTCTATCATGTATATATATATGTATGTATATAGTATAAACACCCACTCTGACAATTGAGAATGAGAAGAGCTCCCTCTAGTGTTCAACTCACGCAACACCTGATTTTTCTGGTGACTAACTGCGATGATCTTGTGCTAGACCTTTTTTTTTTTAGATTTATTTTAAACTCGTTCACCCTCTCCACACCACTTTTTTTTTTTTACTTCAAATTTGACGTTCACCTCCAAACACTGCCTGTCTTTTAGTGCCATGCATGCACCAGACTAACTCGCACAAACTTTTACTCGCATCTCTTTCTCTCCTGCACACATCCATTTTTTCCATCAGCTCCTTCATGGCTTTAATGCAGTGTGAGGATGTATCCCTACTGACAGTCAGACTCACTGGGTTTTCCATTCATTATATTAAGTGACGGAAAATGCTTTTCTGCTTGTCATTTATCTATAAGAGAAAAAAGAACACACATAAATTATTTACACTTCTATCAACATTAATGGATCCATCCATTACAACAACCTAATGCACAAGAAGGAATGAAACTGACATGAAAGAATACAAAACCTAAAGCGAAACATGCACACAAAAAAACTACTTGAAGGAAAGCATAAATATAATGCAAAAAAAAGCTAAACCTAATGCAAAAAAATAAAACTAACGTGAACAAATGCAACAACCTAATGAAAACTAACTAAAAAAAACTAACGTGAAAGAATCAGAACTTAATGTGAAAATATGCAAAAAACTAATGCAACAAAACGCAACAACCTGATCCAAAGAAATGTAAAAACCGAACACGAAAGAAGGCAAAAGTCTAACGTGTAAAATTACAAAACATATCCCAAATCAATGCAAATGCTTAACATAAAGGAAGGCAAAAACTTATCACGAAGGAGCTAACGCAAAAAAAATCAAACGTGAAAATAATTCAAAAACCTTACACGAAATATTACAAGAACAACGCAAAAACAAAACGCTAAACATAACAAAATAACTCAAAAACGACTTTAAAGGGATAAATCAGATCATTTAAAGTGACATTTTGTGGAAAGTGTAATAAGATTTTGTTGTATTGATACTGTTATAGATAAATCTTTAAACAAGTTCAGGATGAAGAAATATGCTTTAAGTCTGAACTGAAGAACTAACAACTGGATGAAGAAAGGCCAAGACTGACGTTGACTGCTGCCATCTAAAAAAAAAAAAAAAAAACTTTTCCTCAAAATTGTTTATTATCATTCCACAAAACCATACTTGAAAAGATTTCATGAACTGCTTGAAGTAGTCCAAGTTTAAACTTCATGTATTGTACAGGAAGCTAAAGCTCTCCACGTAAAGCACTTAGATGGGTTTAGCTTCTCTTGGCCCTTTCCTCTTCCCACCACGTTCAGGTAACCTGCTGCTGTGCTCTTCCCTCCTCGTGTTCTGGTCTTTCATATATAATACCAGTTAAAACAAACAAGACTCGTCTCATGTGGGTTGTCCCCAAGCTTCACCTTCAGCCACTCGGGTTGGGGTGGTGATGCCCTGAAGGCCTCCCTGCAGCACCGCTGAGCTGCAGACAGCTGCTTCAGATAAAAGCTGCTTTATCAGAGTCCATGTTTACATGAGTGCAGTGAGATTTGGTGCAAGATTGTTACAGTTACACAAAAAAAAAAGAACTGCCGGATTAAAAACAAGCCATTTTGTAACTCAGCTCTTTTGAATTTCATGCTGCTGTTGTTCGTGTATTTTTTTTTACTAAGTGTTTAGTATAATCTTAGTTTAGCTTATTACTTAGTTCATATCTTAGATCTTATAACTGATTTTCTTTACAATTTCTACTTTTGTTGAATGTAGCTGGGACCCTGTGTACACAATTTCACTCCACCACGTTTACCAGGTGGTGCGAACGACAAATTTAAAAAACTTTGACTTTGACTTTGAACCAAGCCAACTAGTTTTAACTCAGCAGGATTAATGAGTTTGACACAGAATACCAGATTTTTTAAGTTTTCAAGGTTCTTTTTTGTTATTTGATCACATGTGGCAAATGAAGAGGAATGAAATTGTGTACTCGAGGTCCCTGTCACACCCCAAAACAACAATATAAAGTAGTCCAATAAAAAGAAACAGTATACAAGGATCTAAGATATATTAAAACACTAATAATGTAAAATAATAAGTTATATTGAACAGCAGCCTGAACATGAGTCTGTTGTGAGCAGATGAATATGAATACAGCAGTTTAAAGACAAGAGATCAGCAGCATGGATAAAAACCAGAATTAGCTTAAAATGAACAGTTTGCTGAATTAAAGAGCATCCCAAAATCTGGGTTTATTTGAAGATTGCTATTTGTGCTACAGCAAGTAAGCACTAACCTGTATTTGCATAGCCAGCACCAACTCATGCTACTTTAAGAACTGAAACTCGCTGTCGAGTGTAAATTGATGTTATTAACAAAACCAGCCAGGTTAAACCTCTTCTAAGAGGTTATTTGTAGCACCTTAACTTTACATTTTTGTTTCAAAGCTTCTGGATTAAAATGGTGGACTTTGAAGAACGACACTGAACCAATGATTCAAATGTTTTGATTTGATCTTTGCACAAACCAACCCATGACCCAAAAACTTGAAGCAGTTGCAAAATAACCCAGCAGTTTTTAATCTGTTTGGGTTCATAACTAAAAAAAAGATAGGAAAAGTCTGTTATATCCTAAATTTTCTTTATTTTTTTAATGTTTCTGTCTTTGTATGTGTGTAAAAGTCCTTATTTGTTTTGTATTTTACTGTGTAAAGCAGGTTTTGATCCAAATAAGCATCTCTTGTGGTTTTTCATGCTAAATACAGTGCGTTAGAGAGAACTATTCCCCTCGTCTCTGATTTTCCATGCAAATCTAATTCTTCTGTTACAGCAATAAGAGAATAAGTTGCTGCGCTGGTGCACTTTAGAACTGTATACACACACTTATAAACACACACACATACTTTTGAAAAAATACACCTAACCCCAATTTTCCAGGTGCAGAGGTCTGTGGAATGGAGTCAGAGCAGCTCATACAGAAAGTGCATTATTCTCCATCAGCGGTGTCGTGAGTGTGAGCTATTACACCATCCACACATACAAGTGGAGTTTACCACTCCACAGAAAGTGTGATGGGGCCTGAAAAGAAAAGAGGTGGGAGTGGGATAGTGCTTGATCAGCGGTAAACTAAGTCCGTTCTCATATTTGGTGCAGAACATGCTCTATTTGATTTGCACTAACTGATTTCAAAAGTGCAGGATGTGAAGTTGAACGCTCCCTGGATGCGAACGTGTTTGCTCGGATCATTTTGTGTAATTCTTGAGTTGTGCGTTTTCTGCAATTTAACACTGAATAGTGTTTAAATTTATCTTTTAATGAAGTCATTAAAAGAGCTTAAAGGTTGGTAGATTGTGCATTCTTCTTTTGCACAGCAGTTTCATCTGTGTGGTAAGAATAAATAACGGGAATAAACGATGATTCGTCCTGTTCTTTCCACCCACTGCAGGCAGAAAGAAAGCTGGATTTAATCAGACAGCTTATTCACACAGTGACTCAGAGTGTAGACTTTGTCTGGGTGAAATGGGCTCCGGTGTTTTGTTTTGTTTCATTTTTTTCCTCACACAAAGCAAATACCTGTGCTGGAATAAGATATTGATTTGTCATTTCTCACAGCTGAAGCTTAGTAAATAGACTGAGCAGACGTGTGTGTTGGTTTTTAATAATTGTAGCCCAGAACAAGTCAAAGGCCTTTGCCTGAGATGAGCTTCATGGGTCCAGCACCTCTCAACACACACAAATATGTAATTAAAACAAACTCATGTTTGACTTGCCATTCATGTAGTGTTTTCCTCTTATTTAAAAATATTAAAATAATAATTTCCACATTAACAGCATCTATTTCCACGGTACCAACATTAACATGTTTATGCATTACTTTAAGCTCCATGTTCTGAGTTGGCCCAGCTGAACGGAGGTGCTGCTTGGTTTACAGTTTATTATATATAATGAATAAAAGCAGCAGGGAGTGTTTGCCTCCTGAAAAGGGGATTTAAGCTAAAACACAAACGCATGTTAACTCTTTTCCCCTGTTTTATAACATGATGCTGCAATACAGAGATAATTAATAGAAATTTTCATTATTTATAGCATTTTTATTTAGCATGTGTAACTTAAAGAGCTTTACAATGTTTAAAAAAATGATAAACAGTAAAAGCTGCCATGCGCTAAATGTTAATTTTGTTTATATACTGTGCAAAAAATCTCCAGTCACCTTTCATTATAGCTGAATGCTGAGCAATTATGCTTTATTATTTGCTTGTGAGTGTGTCTGCGTGTGTTTATTTGTCTGTACAGTTAGCAAAATATCTTGTTTGCACTTTGCTTTATTTTATTTTATTTCAAGCAAAGGATGTCTGAGGATGCAACGTGTGCTCAGGACCACCAGGTGTCATCAAACTACCATTAGTTTGCTGCAGTTACACCTCCCATCCACTGGGTGGCGAAAAAGAGCAAAGAGACGTTCGAGGAAAACAAATATTTTTCCGCTTGCGGCCGCAGAAGGTAAAAACAGGAAAACCCACATGGGAAAATCAAAATAAACAGGTAATCGGTTGCTTCTATTTATTCGCTTGACTGTTGTTGGAGTTGATGATAAAATGACGTGCAGATACATTTTACATGTTGTTTAGAACAGCTCTTGTTATAGGAAAGGGAGTTTGTTCCGCGTTTTGGGGAAACTGACGATAAGAGACAGTGAACGCATCATTTATGTTGTGAGGGAGCGGATCACGTCTGCAGATATGACTTAAGAACTATTGTAATAATTACATTTTATAGACATGATTTTAATATTTACTTTATTTTTACCATCTTCAATTCGTGGCTGCTTTTCTTTATTCCACTATAGCTTTGTTTTCTATTGTTTATGTGTTTATTCCTGTCAATTAAACAGGTGAAAACTTTTTAACTGCAGACCACGTTACATATTTGAACTTGCACATATGATTGTTTTCTTTAAACAATTTCAAAGTGATTGTTTTTTTCTTTTGTTTAATATGATTTTTAAAAGACATCTGATTCTTGCACATAGCTTACAAAGTCAGGATGTTAAAATAATAATAATAATAATAATAAAATGTGAAGTAAAGTAGATTTGTCATCATATCAGGATTTTTACCTTTAATGAAACAGCTGAAGGAGTATTCTCTGAAGGTGATGATTTTATTTATTTATGGATTTATTCATTCATTTATAGCCAGACTTTTATGACTGTTTTGGTCTACCAAAATTAATAAATAAGCTATATTAGGTTAGTGGAAACACCTTTTAAATAAATATCAGTTTGTACGTCTCACTATTGTTAGGACTTTCTTCATCAAATTCACATTTATTGAAATAATTTCCATGCTGTTATTGCACCTTCTAACAAAATATTTTGAAATGTTCAACATATTGTTCATAAATAACTTGATTCACTTCGTGTCATTCAGTCATGGCTGAGGAACCTGCTGCTGTAGTCCAACTACTCCGACTCCAGAAAGCAAAGCTAGTTGAGATTCTTACAGCCGATGCAGACTTTGTTCTGCAGCACGCTGATTCTCGATGTCTGCTTTCTGAACACGGCTACCAGCACGTGAAACATTGTCGCACTCCAAGTGCAAAGGTGACAGAACTTTTGGATCACATCATGCAGAGAGGTCCTGGAGCAGCGCAGGGACTACTGGACCTGCTGAAGGAACCAGACTTGCAGAAGACCTTTCCCATGCTGGATTTTGTAAAAGACCTTTATGTCAATACAGTGTCTTCAGGTACAAATAAAGATTTATTTTAAATTCTTTTACTGATTTTTCAGCAATATCACAGATTAATAAATGGAATACTAAATGGAAGCATGTTTTTTTTTTCATATACAAGAGAAAAAAGAAACGAAAAGGAAACGGAGAACAAAGAACAGAAAGAGAACAGAGGTTTCTGAACTACAAGATATAATTCCAACCAAAAAGATCTGCAGCAGTGGTGAGTCAGGCTCCATTTACAGTGTTATTTTCAGTTCACAGTAACATTATCACCTGCGGCATGCTCTGCTGTGTCTTTGGTCGTTGTGTCACAGGTCATGGTTTAGTAACAGAGAAGCAGCTGATGTCTGTGGCTCGTGCTTTCGGCAAATCTTGGAGGGGGATCGGCAGACAGGCTCTGGGCATCCCGTCTGTGAAGCTGGAGCAAATAGAAGAGGATAATTCTCTCCATGTGGAGCGAGTCTTTGCCATGCTGCGTTACTGGAGTAAAGTCCAGAGGGAGAAAGCCACTGCTGCTCACCTGCACTCCCTCCTAAGTCAGGGAGATGAAGCTCTACCTCCTGAAAGCATCGACTTTCTGCTGGAGGCTGACTGAGGCCTTCGCTGTTTGGGCTGAAAACCTCCAAGAAGAACAGCTTTGACTGGAGATCAGTGAGTTTCTGATCATTTGAAAAACATGAGAGTTCCTTGATTCAGCATGTTTTTTTTTTATATTCCGTGCATCTGTCATTAAAATATGTTTTTTAATGTCTTTTAAAAGAGTGTTTTGTGTACTTGTCGTATTTACTGATAGTATCTGTTTTGTAAACTTTAGTTTTATTTTCAGTCAGTGAAAAATTGTGAATAAAGTTGAATAGTGCTTTTATTTGTTTAAAATTGAAACATTTAAAATTGCGCATTAAAACATTTTTTCGCCATCTCAGTTTTTTTTTTGTACATTTCATGTATATGAGAGACATTTTAATTCTCTGCAACAGTTCTATGATTTTTATTTTTTGTATAGGTTATTTTAATTTCACTGTGTTTTATGAGCAAAGTTATTGGTGTTTTATTCATGTCTCTCGTTACAGAGGAAATATTCCAACACTTTACTGAGCAATAGATATTAACGCCGCGTTTAAAACACTTCCAGTTAAACGTCCTTTTGCGTTATTTTATGTATTTATGCATAATTAAAAATTAGTCATCAGTGAAATGTCCTTGCAACATCTACTTTGCAGGAAATGTTCACTGTAAGTGTTTTAATGGTTTATGAGATGTTCATCAATTACTGTAATTGCTTTAATGGGGTCTTTTCCATCTGACTGCTGGGAATCTTTGAGCTGAATTAACAGCATTCTTGGGTATAAAGTGGTTCAGTTAAATTAAATATAAACTCATCAAATGTTGCTTTGCTGTTGTGAGACACATCTCCAGAAATAATTCAGAGAACTACAGAGAACTACAGTATCTAAATCATAAATAAATGATGTTCATCGTTACCTTTATTTAAGCAGATAAAACCTGAGATCATCTGTTTTACTTCAATGGCTTGACTAAGATATCAATAGCACGTCATAAAAGGATGAAAACCAAGTAATGGTAGGATCAAACATACACTTATTTTATTTATATTACTTTATATGTATTTTTTAATCATCCATCCATCCATTATCTTCTGCTTGGTGTGAAGTCAGGTTGTGGGGGGGGCAGCAGCTTGAGCAGGGAGGCCCAGACTTCTCTTTCCACAGCCACCTCCTTCAGCTCTGGGAGGACCACAAGGCATTCCCAGGCCATAGTCTCTCCAGCATGTGCAGGGTCTTCCCCAGGGTCTCCTCCCAGTTAGACATGCATGAAGCACCTCCTTAGGGAGGGGCCCAGGGAGCATCCTTACCAGATGCCTGAACCACCTCAACTGGCTCCTCGATGTGGACGAGCATCGGTTCTACTCTGAGTCTCTCCAGGATAACCGAACTTCTCACCCTGTCTCTAAGGGAGAGTCCAGCTACCCTGTAGAGGAAACTCAACCGCCTGTATCCATGATCTCGTTCTTTCGGTCACTACCCAGAGCTCGTGACCATAGGTGAGGGTAGGAACGTAGACCGACTGGTAAACAGAGAGCTTTGCCTTACAGCTCAGCTCGCTCTTCATAATGGACCAGTACAGAGTCCACAATACTGCAGACACCGCACCAGTCCGTCTGTCAATCTCACGCTCCATTCTTCCCTCACTTGTGAACAAAACTCAAAGATACTTGAACTCCTCCACTTGAAGCAGAACCTCACCCTCCAAGAGAACAGTCCACCCTTTTCTGACGTTGTTTAATGAGTTTAATCAGTCTTAAACTTGCTCTCTTTTTTTTACTGAACAAAAAAAGCCAAATGGAAATAATGTTCCCAGACTCTAAATGGTCACCCATGCTGTGTCAAAATGTAAAAATGTTGTCTCATAAGATTTGCATTAAAATAAAAATACTGTGACAAAATCTCATAAGATTTTTTTTTTTGTGACGAGCACTAAATAAGTCCGAGCTCCTCGTTGTTTCTCCTTCTTTCATAACCTCCTCACTCATTAAACCACTTTCACTCTGGGGCAAAGGTTAAATCCCTCCCAGTTTCATCTGCTCACCTTTGTTTTATGATTTTTTTTTCTGCTGCTGACAGCAGGCGCACATGTCCTCGTTCTCTTGTAAGTACAAAATGTTTTCATTTTGGATGGGTTCTCCACGGTGTAGTTAAACGTGTTTGTCTCGCAGCAGGAGGAGAGAAAATGGAAGCAGATCTTTGTGAGCTGAGAGATCCTCTTATTGACCACACTGAGGGCCAACTCTTCTTGAGCGAAGCCTTCAAAGTTATTGTGGAGGAGGTGCTCTGCAAGGGCACAAATGTCAAACAGAAGGTCTGAAGCAACAAATATATATATTAAAACACTAACCACCAGGTTGCAATTGATGTTCCAAACAGAAATGTCATCATCCATCTATTCCTGCTGCAGGTGTGTGAGTGGAAAGAGCCTGAGGAGCTGGCTCTGCTGCTGGATTTGGAGTTGAGGGAGACCGGGGAGCAACAAGACAGACTCCTGCAGAGAGTCAGAGATGTGGCCAAATACAGCATTAAAACCAGTAGGTCTGACTGAACCAACTCTCACTGTGAAGCAGACGGACACATTGTTGATACTGAGACTTTTTTTTGCTGCTAATTTCAGGTCATCCCCGTTTCTTTAATCAGCAGTTTGCAGGAGTGGACTATCATTCTTTGGCTGGACGTTTCCTCACCGAGGCTCTCAACACAAACCTGTGAGACATAAAGATTATTAAACAGTAAAAGAGATTATTCTGAAGGGCATGGGTGTTCAGAAGTGTGGCCAAGCTGAAAGACATGTATAAATCATTTAACAAAGGAAAAACTGAAGATTTCAATCGCTTCTGTCTTCAGAGGTGAAGTCTTTTGTTACCGAAATCAATCCCTTGGTGTTTTAACTTCTTTCCACTACAGATTTGTGTTTGTCTTTAATGCAGTGCTGCCAGGGCCTGAAAATTGTGAGTGTACAAGCTAAGACACTTTTGTACAAATTGTTCTGG